TATTCTTCGTTTGCAATATACGTCACAGCCGCCATCTTGGTTGAACTTCAACAAAGGATTTCTCATTAGTATCTATTGTTCATTCAACCAACATGGCCGGCCGTCTTTTATCTTTTGAATCTCATGAGGATGATTGAAAACGAGCAATATGAGCAAGACATTTGTCCTGATTTGCATACGACTTTAACTTCGATTTTCTCTTACAAATGATATTTTATCCTGGAGTTTTTTTTTGAAATATGCTTTACCTTATGTTGGAATTTGATAAGCAAATTTGTAAAATATTCGCATCCAACCTTTATGGGCTATAAAACTGCTCGCTTGCAGCTCACAGTATTAAATGCCCATAAAGGTCTCCCACTCATATATATTACATAACTTGGCACAATGGCATGATGAAAGTTTGACGTCATTTGATGTATTATCAGATAACCCTCTCCCAATGTCACCGTACTCGAGTGTTTACATGGTGAAAAGTTGGCCCTCCTAGGAGCTTCATTCTTCCTATTAAATAGGGTGACCCTACCTGACATGTAAACAAAACCTGCAAAATCAATAGAGTAGGGTCACCCTACCCATAAGGTGACTCTATCTCCATTTATTTCATACTTGATTCAGTTTTCTTTGTTATTCATAGTGTTGTATCTCGCTTATTCCCCAGCTCGTTGTGTATTCAAGTGCTTTATATCGAAGTTTCAGGGATATATCTAGATATCGCCCCCATTTGAGGGCAATATCTGTTGCCCTTGAATACTAATGTATATTGTCCTTGAATACCTAATTAATTACTACGTTCAACTTAGAAATTTTCTGTCTGAAACTTTAAACTTGAAAGAAAGAAAGAAAAATTCAAATGACACCAAATAGATTTGAACCCACAACCTTAGCTTTGAAAATCCTATACTTAACACGTTATGCTAACTGACTAATTGATGTTAGTTCTGGAATAAAACAGTTATTTAACATTGTCCAGTTACTTGTTACAAAAGGCATATTGTTAGCATTGGTCTCATGGGACTAACGAGAAAATTGGTTATGCAAATTATTCCCGTTGGGAATTTTCAATACTGTAAATTTTGTAATCTTTCTAAACGAGGGTTTGGTTTTTAATTCATAGTGAAAACGGCTTCTTCGCCTATTTAAAAATGAAAATATTAATGCAGTGCTTGGAAAACTTCTTCAAGTATGAAATAAGCCAGTTACATACCTCGAACATCGGCAATCAGCCTATACATCCCTCGGTATTAGGCTGATTGCCTCCGTTATCAGTATGTAACTCTTACGTAAACAGGGCCTTAGACCTGAACTCTATTTTTTTTTGATGCGCCAATTAATTATATTAAACATGCAAACATCATTGTTTTGAGCTCAATCATCAGGAGAACAAAAGCTTCCATCAAAACTTGATACAAATAAGATGTTGCTTACAAATACAATGTATGAATATAATGTAACATTATTTACATCTTTCTTGCTTGCATGTTCAGCAGTGTTTTTGTCAATTTTACCTCTTAAACCAGACAAGTATGTCCCCTACGATATACGCTTATTGACTGAGTTAYATGTACGTCGGGCCACACACAATCCCTACATGTGAAGTCTGTACAGCATGACCTTGAGCCAAACATTTTCCCATATGGCCCTCCCATTCAGTCAATAAGTACATAGCCTATTATAGTTGATTTACTCCAGCAATACAATGGATG